AAAAAAAAAAAAAAAAAAGAAAAGAAGAAGAAAGAAAGAAAGATTTTCTCAACAAGAAACACAACCTCAATATATCCATCAAATTCTTATGGGTGACACCAATCCACTGTGATGAGCCCTATACTTATATCTTGCAGCATCCTTAGGCAGATCAATCGACTCAATCTCACGCGTACGAACCCAATACAAGATGCAATATCGACCATTACCCGGAGCAAAGACCAAAACCTCCGGATAATTTATCCAACCCACCGAAAAAACCCAAACACCATTCGCAACGAAAACCGCCTTTTCATCGCACTCCCGAATAATCCCTTCCAACCTCTCGCCCTCCAAATCGACAATAATCGTCTTCCTCCAAACCCGCGTCTCGGGACTCATCTCCCACACGCCCCACGAGTAAAAACTCCCGAGCTTCATCACAAGCGTCAAATTCTTCCCTCCCGACAATAAAAACTCGCTCTCCCCAAAACGACCTAAATGACATAAAGGCACGGGAACCCTCGACTCAGTCATAACCTCGGTTTCCGCATCGAGTGTGAAAATCTTATCTCCACCACTATACGGGACCCAATGCGCGAAACCCTCAGTTATCAACGGGCTACTAATCGACAGCAGAGTCTTCGTCTGACGAGTCAGACGGTCAACCGAGCCCACGTGCCGCCACGAGTTATCAGTCCCGACAGTCAACACGGCGTACTCATAGGAAACCGAGCCATTTTCCCCTCTCGAGAATTGGACTTGCACAACTTTGTACTCGTTCGTGGCCGCCACATAAGTCAAACAAGGATCGTGCCTAAAATATCTTCGACCCAAAAATGGAGGGAGATCGAGATACTCGGTTGTCCCGGGATTCACGACGCGGAGAGTAGAGGGTCAAAAGGTGAAGGCACCAAAACCAAGCCATGAGAGTTGGCCCATATACGTAGGCCCAATTTGTGGCGCGAGCGGGATAACTCGACCCGGCCTGTTGGCCCAATAGAGATGAAAATCAAATCTTCAAGGGAAGTTGGGTTTTGTAAAAGGAGCCCAATGCTCGCACGGCGAAGGTGCGCGCGTATGAAGTCACGGGAGCGGGTTAGGTGGGCCCACCTGCAGGAAACGAGCCTTGCCCAGTCGCGGATATCTTGAGCCGGGAGACGAATGAGAATGTTGAAAAGCAAATCTTCGGAAAGGGACTCTGTGTTTGTCGACAGAAACTGTAACCTCGGAGTACGATTGCAACTCGCCATCTATGTAGCAAAATAGATACAACTTTTTGTCAGGAATTTGTCTAAACTTTAATGTTAAAAGAACAACATATTTCAGTTTGTCAATATACTATTCTTTTTTGGGGAAAGCTACGTGTATAATTTTTTTGTACATTATTTCATATGTGGCAATGTGTGGATGGTTGAGATGCAAATAAATGTATAGCTAATATTTGATTCAATGAAAATTTTAACTAATGTTGTCAACAAATATTGTCAACTATAATTGAACTATAATTTTACTTGNTTTCAACTTATTCAATATTAGTCCCAACGTTTCAAAAACTAAAGTAATTTTGGTTCAACACCGTCACCTCCTATCATATACATTTAGAAGCTATCGACTCGACCTACAGTACCTTCACATAAACCATTTAAAAGCTATTGACTCGACTCGACCTATCCAACAATACCTTTAATTTCATCACACGTACCTTGGAGTTCGTCAAATCGTCGTTAATTTTTCTAAATATTTTGAGCTAAACTGCGCTTGTTTGGATTTTTATGGAAAAAAAATATATGAATAAAAACCCATTTCTTCTCGAGGAATCCATAGTTTTCCTAGCCGCCTGCAATATACCCGCAAAGTTTCCAAAATTTTCCAGCCACCACGACTCACCGGGAAACTATAAACATGGAGCACCATAAACGAAAACCAGCTATATTTTAAACAGATATTCTTCCCCGGCACATCTAAAACACAAATTTGGGAAAAAGGCGGAAAATTCCCCAATTTCACCCTTCCAATATAGCCCCAAACAAAGGGAAATTTAACCAACGTGTATGTATCGAGCTTAAACAGTAAATAAAATGAGTGAAAGTTCAAACCACAGTGAAAAATAAAAATAATTAAGGTCTGTAAAAAATATCACAGATAGTTTGCTTACAACTCCGGCCGGCGAATTGGTGGCGACGGCGGACTCCTGGTCGCTCTCGAATTCCTTTATAAGATCTAAATGTGAGGCCAAAAAAGAAAAAATAATAATTAAACAGATGAGAAAATATGAGAGGAATTGAAGTGCAGAGGATTTATTTTAGGGATTTGTAAAATTTAAAACTGTGATTTATAGGCTGGAAGATTTTGTTGGGTCTGTTTCTCAATGCGAAAATCAGCACATAAATAGTATAACACGACTCTTCAACAAATATAAAATTCATATTATATCCATCAAAAAAGATTTATATTAGTGTTTAAGGTTGTTTATAAATAGCCTAAAAATTTTTTCGCGTCTAATTTGCTTACCTTGTTTAAAAATTCAATGTTTCAATAAAAAGTTTATGATTTGTTAAAAAAAGAAGTATGATATTTTTTAAATTTGATTAATAGCTAAATTGAAAGGGAATTATAAAGACTTTCATGTTATCAAAAAATAATTAGAAATTGTTAATTTATAATTAAACATCGTTTATATTAATTTATTATGTAAAATAGCTTTATTCATATCATTTTTTTTTTTCCTTTTTTTTTTTCAATTCAATCTCAATAACATAGTGATAAACGTGCTTTTACATAACTGCTTTACCGGCAATTCCTTACCAAATAACCATTAATGCTTTCGATTTTCGTTCATGTTTATCGACTGTTAAAATCAAACTTTATTAGAAAGCTATATCTATACATGTTACAATAATCAGCCAAATAACGAATAAAAATTATACAATTATTTACAAACACAACATTCATTGATTAGCTAGCTAAGATCCAATCTACTTATTTATTTATTTATTTATTTTTGTTCGTACATAGTTCTGAATAAGCATTCCCTCTTTTACAGTGCCAACAAGAAGTAGTAAGCTAGCCCGATTGGAACTGCTACAATCAAGCCGAATATAATCCTAGTGACATATCGAAAAAAGCAAAATGAACTGTGTGTTAGTATTTGAAATAATTATTACGTACATATATCCAGATGCACATTATACTATTTGATTTCGAAAAAAAAAAAAAATGAACTGTATGTTAGTATTTGAAATAATTATTAAGTACCCTGTGCTCAGTATCTCCGGATGAACGTTATACTCTTTCGCAAACACAAACGGGACAATCCCCTGTGGCAGTGCTGCCTGCAGATCACAAATATTTACTAATAAATACTTGAAACAAGAAAAACGGNTT